CACCTGGCTCTGGCGGCCACTCATTAAACAGCTAGAGGACTTTGCTAAAATGGACCTAAGATAATCCCACCTATAAGGCTGACGTGGGGATGAATTCTGACAATGGATGCTGAAGTGCCCACAAACCCTCTGGGTGAAGAAAATCCTTGAGCCACATTGTGGTCAGGGTTTCTCATACGCAATGTTCCCATGGGGGAGACCACAGACCCTTGGTCCCGAGGATGCCCAAACTGCTGGTGCAGAATCGCATAGCAGATTGATGCACAAACCCAAAGCCTGGAGCTGCAATGGCAGCAGAGAGGGCAGGGGGTCAGAGGGCAGGGGGTGCAGGGGGCAGCCAGTGCCTGGGCAGTGGTGCGCTTCGGGTCCCCTTGCCCTGGACCCCAGCCAGGCCGCACTCCCTCGCTGACTGCCTGCTTCATGCAGCCAGGCCCTGGCCATGTCGAGGACAGGCTGTGTTGGGCTCCAGATATGGTGAGGGCCGGAGGGCCAATGGAGCGAGGTAAGCAGCCCTCCTGTGCCCTTGGGGGTGACTCTGGGAGAAGCCTTAGCCCCAGGGCGGTTCCCAGTTACACACACACACACACACACACACACAGAGTCCACCCCGGGGCCTGGGTGCTGACCCACAACCCACTCAACTCAGCTTCCTTCCAGCCTGGGCCGCGGCCTTGGAGAGGCGGACAGCGCATGCGGGGCTGAGAGCAGCAGGCTGCCAGAGCAGGAGCGGCCTTGACCTGCAAGTGCAGAGCCCCACTTCCTCCTGCACCTGCCAGTCACCTCCCTCCCTCCCTCCAGCCCCGGCAATGAGCACCCCAGTATTCTTTTGTGCATAAGTGAAGCCTCCAGCTTCCAAACCAAGGCTCAAGGTCAGACAGGTCAAACTTTGGGCTGGGGAGCAAAGGAGAAGACAGAGAAGCAGCTTTGCGGAGGGGTGGCTGGCAGAGGGGAGCCCCCCCCCGCTCCCCCTGCCCTGTTCTTGAAGCTGGCACCATGGTGGCCACTCAGCCAATTCACAGGCTCGTGTCCACTCTCCTCTCCCTCGCCCTAATGCTCACCACAGACTGGATGACAGGGGAGGGGAGGGACAGCAGTCCTGCCCAGCCCCTCCTGGGTCAGCTGCTCTGGCCAGTGGGAGAGGAGTCCACGTACCAACATCTCCCCCCATGGCTTGGGCAGCGAGGAGCAGCACTAAGAGCAGGGTCATGGCCATGTACGAGGCTGGAGGCTGGGGCGGGGGGGGGGCAGGGAGGCTGGAGGGCAGGAGGCTGGGGGGGGTGGAGGCTGGGCTGAGGAATGAGGCTGCACAGCCTCTTCAGGCCTGGCTCAGCCTCCGATGTCACAATGGGGCTGGGTTGAAAGCAGGCTGAGGTCATGCAGGCTTCTCTCTGGCTTCTTCTCTAGGCCGAGAAGGTCTGCCTAGGGCCTCGTGTGGAGACCCGCCGACCTGGCTCAAACGCCGCCACCGCACTCCGTGGCGCCTAATCCTTCAGGATCCTGGGCTTCCTCTTGTACAGAGCCGTCTCTGTCACTGCAAGGCCGGCTGGCAAAGCCGGGCCTGTGGCCTAGAGGAGGCCTCTCCAGGCACGGACACCCTGCGTGGTCCAGCAGCCTCCTCCTCCTCTGCCTCGCCCCAGCCGAGGAGGACACAGGCCCTGTCTGGGGCTCTTGGCTTCTTTCACTTCTGCCCAGAGGGGGCGACGCCTCTCCTATCACCTGGATTTATCCCACATGACCCCCCCCCCCCGCAGGGCCCTGTGCACCCAAGGGTGAAAAGATGAGACTCAGGCGGCGAGGTGGGGCCGCGGCCTGGCTGGGCAGTGGGATGTGGCCCTGGGGTTACTTATTACCCTTTACCTCGCACACACTGACAGGGGTGACCTCAGAGGCCCCCACAGCTGCTCCATCCACCGCTGAGCGACAGCTACCATTTCCCCAGCGGGAGGTGTGGCTGGGGTTGGAACTCAGGCCCCTGCGCTTGCTAGGTAGGTACTCTCTACTGAGCCACGTCTCCAGACTCTTTTGCACTGGTTATTTTTTGAGAGTTTTTGATCCACCTACTTGAGGCTCCCTGCTTAGCCGGGATGTTAGGGTTAGGGAGCGCCACCCCATCCCTCTTCTTCCCTAGGGGTGGGGTCTCGCAGCATTTTCTGCCCGAGCTGGCCTGGAACTATGATCTTCCCAGCCTCAGCCTCCCACACGGCTGACGGTGTGAGTCACTCATCCCAGGTTCTGGCTGAGAAGGGGTTCTGGAACTTTTCTGCTAGGGCTGACCTCAACTTCACCCTTCTAGGTTGCCAGGATTACAGGCGTGAGCCTGCAAGCCAGCGTCTGGCTTGTATCTCTCATGCATCTGCAGAGCACGTTCTTGATCTAGGTCGGGTTAGTTTGTGGACAGCGTTTGAGAGCAGGCAATGGTCACCCATTACTGAGAGCCGGGCCAGCACCCAAACCCAGGTTCCCCAGCTCTCAGTGGGTGGGCTCCCAGACATACAATCACTTCTGAGCTCACGTGGCTCTCGGAAATCCACGGGAGGAGAGGACACTCGTGGGCTTGCTGAAGACAAAACGGGCTGGAGCTAGAACTCATGCCACGCATGGTCAGCCTCCAACCTGGGCGGCAGGCGAGCCTTCTCCTCCTCTCTCACTTATCATCCATTCTGGCCTAGCAAACGTGTCGAAGGCTACCAGGCCCCATTCCAAAACCTGACAGTACAGACGGGAAAGCTCCTCTTGTCTTCATGAGAGCTGCAGTCGTGGGAGAGACGGCGAGGCCCTGCTGAGGGCTGAGACGGCGTGGGATGGGCATCTGTGCAGTGCAGAGCCACGAGACGGAGCCACGCAGCAACGGGACAGGGCGGGCCTCGCCCACGGGCGCCTGGGAACCACACCCACACCCAGAGGAAGGGAGGAGGGAGCCTTGGCAGTAACTGGGGAGCCCTGAGATAACAAAGAGGCCAAGAGTAAAGCAAGAGATCAAAGATTAGGAAGCGAGCACTTCCTCCCATCTGGGTGACGCGGACTGTGTTTCTGAAAGAGAGCACGCGGGGTGGCAGTGTCCTCTGACTCAGTGAAAGGATGGGAACACTTGAGGAACCATTATTATTATTATTGTTATTACTATTATTATTGCCAGTCCTGGGCCTTGAACTCAGGGCCTGGGCACTGCCCCTGAGCCTCTTTGTGCTCAAGGCTAGTGCTCTACCAACTTGAACCACAGCACCACTTCCAGCTTTTGCTGTGTAGTTTGTTGGAGTCTCAGGGACTTTTCTACCTGGGCTGGCTTCAAACCACGATCCTCCTATCTCAGCCTCCTGAGTTGCTGGGATGACAGGCATGAGCCACCCAGCCTGAGGAACCATTATTTTTGATGGTCTTAAGATAGAGATGAGGAGCCCATCTTAAAACAGGCGTTGAGGAGGTGGGAGAGGGGAGGGCAAAGGGCAAAGGAGAGGTGCGGACACGCTGAGGGCTTCGAGGCTCATCCTCTCCCTGGCCCCCTTCTTCCTCAGAGGTTTCCCCTCCCCCTCAGTTTCCTCCAGCTCCCTGGCGGTGGTCACCCTCCTCTTCTGGCTCTGTTGTCTCCTGGTCACCGTTTGTGTGGACAGGTCCTCAGGGCTCAGGTGCCCGCAGCCTGCCCACACCCTCCTGTATCAGCGCCATCCAGTAAGCCCAGACGTCTCCGGGCCTGTGTGTGTTTGCCGGGCTGCCAGCCTTTCAGACCCACTCTACTTTCTGTCACCTCTCCCGCAGCGCCGCCCGGCACCCTAGCACTGTGCTGAACCTCTTTTCTCTCCCCTTCTTGGCAGACCCTCCATCGCGCTCTTTCTGATGGTAAAGAATGTATTTTTATTTATTTAAAATATAGTTTTAAAAATAGAGCACACAGGGGAAGAACAACAAAAATAACGGAAATGAAGAGTGTGTTAAAATTCTGGGGGACAATACTGGAACGTGAACTCAGGCAGGCTCTCTGCCAGGACCTTTTCCCTTTGTTTTCAGATTGATTCTCTACAGTTCCAAGCTGACTCTGACCTCAGTCTTACTACCTTTACCACATCGGTAGTTGGTATTTTAGCAGTTCTCTGTCAAATCCAGCTTTCTGTGTGTTTTTAGAAATTAGTTTAAGTGGGGCTGGGAAGGTGGCTCAGTGGTAGAGCGCTTGCCTTGCATGCCTGAGGCCCTGGGTTCGATTCCTCAGCACCACATAAGCAGAAAGAAAAAAAAAAAGAAAGAAATTAGTTTGTCTATTGTCACGGTCCTTTGTTTCTTCCTGCTGACCTCAGACCAGCATCTCTTGCCTGGGTCACTAGGGCCGCTTCCCAGAGTGATCCTCGCGTGCCAATACCACCACATGAGCCACTTAAAAAAAGAATTCTCTGGGCTGGGAAGGTGGCTCAGTGGTAGAGCGCTTGCCTTGCATGCCTGAGGCCCTGGGTTCGATTCCTCAGCACCACATAAGCAAAAAGAAAAAAGCCG